CAGTAAAAACCGGAAACCAGTCGCTGCAGCCAAGAATTAGCGGTAAGGCAGGCCGCATAATTTACGACGAGAAGGGGGTGGGGCGGCCGAGATCAGTCAAGAACACGGAAGAAAGTCCGCTCTCTCTCATGTTAGTTACGAGCAAGGGCAGGTAATTCGTCGGCACTCATAAACCCTTTGAGTAGTGCTCGCCGAAAAAGGAACGGAAAGAGACAGGGGGAGGAGGGGGGGGAGTGATTAAAGACAATTCTTTCTGGACAAACCTTGAGGGTTTTGACAGCCACCACGGAGTTGTACCGACGCCAGACAGCCTCGTACACATCCCCGTACTGACCGGAACCTGAAGGGGAGGAGGAAGAAGAAGGGCGACTTCGGATTGACAATCGGGAAAAGGCGCGAAAAAGAAGTAGAGGTTGAGTATTATGAAAGACAAGAGTAAAGGGAAGACAGGGGTGGACGGGGGGAGGATACGCAGACTCCCATCCGAGGCCGACAGTTGTCAGCGACTGTGGGGACACAACCGCTACCTACGACGCAAACTTAGACAATGTAAGCCACATAAACGACGGTTTGTGGATTGTGTTCACGAGTTGTGTGTGAGAATTACACGGCAACGCACTCTGGCCACTTTTTATGGCCTGATGCGCTACCCTTCGCAAAAAGACACTGCTGGTCGAAGACGGCTATTTTGCTACAGGATTTAGAACTAAAAGGATCGGTGAAAAAGACAGCACACAGACACGGTAGGCTGTACAGTACATAGCCTAACGCATGCAATGTCGTGATCAAAATATGAGTGACTTAGCGTACATATGGCCTTATAAGTTTGATTTGTTAATAAGAGTTGAGGCTCGAAATGCCTGTAAATAATTCAAAAGGCAGGTGGGAGAGGTGCCGATAGAAATGAGAGTACATTTATACAGTACTACTTCGGCATCATTCGGCCTTCATAACTCATCGGCCACCACCTAACACATGTATGCGCGCGCACAGGCAGAGTGTAGCTGGTCCACAGACGGGTCAGAGTACTGTACCAAACTGAGATTCGTCTGCAGCCCTCGAACCTTTGGCTTCTTTTTCTACTGCAGATCCGGTATGAAGAATTAAGAGGGTTGTGCACGCGGTGGTGTAGAATTTCGGATGCCCGCTTTCGTAGGGGCACGGCCCGCCTAGTGAGTGTTAGACGCAAAAATGCCTTTGATATGCCTCCTAATATAATAAGCACATACTCTTATCTGTCGGCCGGCAGTTCTCTCATTGCCGTAAGCGACGCGGCCCACCACCATGCCACTATTCGGATCTATTCTCGTCTCCCGGTCCCTCCGATGTATTTGACCGCGCAGGAATTACATTTAAACTGGTAAATGACATAGGTAGAAAAAAGTCATTGAGGGGGGGCCCTAAGTCTCGATCGGTATTGATTCCAGCCAATGGGCGAAAATACGCGTTGTCCAACAAAACTGTGAAGGAAAGGCGATTACAGGGACCATTCCCAGATTCTTATACCGGGAACGAGATTTGAAAGTGATTTCCCGATCCTTGATTGCCACTGACGGACATTTCGAAATCACATACTTTATCTGCGTTGTCAGCTGAATAGTACACCGCCGGTAGTTGACAAGAGATCCAGCTGCTAATAGAAGCGAAAATGCGAGCCCTATGCAGTAATTAAGAAAGAGAGGAATAAGAAGATAGGATCGCAGGGAAAATAGGGTTTTTGCCAGGGGAAGCAACAGTGATTCTCGCAAGGTAAACATCTCCCCTGCTCATGCCACAGCAACTATATTGCCATGGCAAGAAACGGTAGCGGGGCTTGTTCACCCTGACTGATCTGACACAAAGC